CTAGCCCTAGCCCTAGCCCTAGGCCTAGTGCAGTGAATGTCCAGTACATAAACCGTCCTCATCTCTTAAATGTCATCAGAAATGGGAAAGGGGAAACATAATTTGTCCAAAGCAAGGTATCCTCCCTTCTCTGCTAGTGAAGTTACTATCAGGGCTCATATTGCATGATGGGAAAACTTTGTTCAGTTAAGCACTGTGATCCTTGGCTGGGGTGAGTTTGCAGACATATTTTTTATAGATATTTTGGGTTGCCACACCTAGATAATGGAAAGGGATTACATTTACTAGCTTCTAGGGTATCCTACAATGTACAGTCACCGAAGAAAATATTCATGTGACCCAAAACATCAGTAGTACTATGGTGGAGACACTGAGGTCGGTGGTCAGTCAATTTTTTTATTATTATTATTACATACTGGGTTACTATGAGCAAGTCCTTTCATTTAGGTCTTGCTTTCCTCAATGACAAACTAACAGCAACAGGGATAACAACAACACAGACCTCATAAGGTTCTTGAGAAAGTTAACTGCCAGCGTGCCTGAAACAGTGCAGCCTGACACAAAGCAGGCACTCCCTACATGGTGACCCCAGTAATGGCCAGACAGACAGATAAACAGAGTGGTCAAGACGTGGGAAAGACCAAGGGAGGGGATCCTGCAGGAAGGCTCCATGGAGCCATTGACCAGGTGGAGGGCTTCTTCCGGGGACTGGAAGCTGGGGAGGAGTCACAGACATCCTAAAGCACTGTGTTGTGGAGATTGGGAGGGTGGTGCATCCCCAGAGGAGAGAGATCCATATGCCAGATGTGCGTGTTTCCAGCTTTAACTGCTCTCACTCCTTTTCAAGGCCTTGATCAAAGCAATAGCTAGAGTCTGTATTTTCTTTCTCTTGTTAGCTTGTTTAATATAAGCTCTTGATCTGTGTCTCAGACTCTGTTTACATGTATTGATTTAGCAGAATCTATCAAAATGCAAATTCATGTACTCTTTGACCCAGAAACAGTAATTCTATAATTTGACCTTCTGATATTCTTCATCTACAAAATGGCTATGTACACAATATCCTTGACATCATTACTTAGGATGGCCAGATATAAACAACATTTCATTTCCATTAACAACAGAAAGCTGCTTTAACAAACATGACAGCTATAGGACACTAGGTAGCCATTTTTTAATCTCATGTTTAACCTCTATAGGTTTAAAAAATGTTTCTTGAAGGCCACACAAGCAGCTGCTTATATATAGTGTGTCTTGGAATGAAAATTCAGTGTTTGGGGCAGTCTAGAAGGGTGTCTTTACACAGTAGCTTTTGTACTTTCTGCATCCCTTGACCTATGTGAATGTTACTTGCTGAAAATCTGAATAAAATATACATGTGCCACTCACAAAAGAGCTCAACAGTGGGGCATGGCCTTCCACACTGGGAAGGGGCGCTATCCAGATGCCTGGGTGTAAGGTATGTCTCCCTCTCCATTCAAAAAGTACCCCAGGTGCTCCTGATGGACAAAAGCGGGCTCATGGTATCAATAAGCTTGTCCTACAAGATGAGTTGTGCATGCCAACTTTCAGGTCCAATTGGGTTTTCACAGGACCCGAACAAGAGGCGTGAGCCCCACTCTGCTCTGAGAGAGTCTGGCTAGACCCCTGGGAATATATTACAGGGCCACACACCTGAGCTCAGCACAAAAAAACAATACTCTAAAACCAGATTGGTCAGCATAAGGTGGACTGCCTTGGGAGGTAGGGTGCTGGTTGCTCTTGGGGGGGGGGGTTAAATAGTGGCTGGACAGCCATGCCCAGGCACTCCCCGAGAAGCTGGGCACCCTCTGGCTGTCACAGAACCACGAGGAATTAGCTGCTAGTGTCAGGCCTCTTGCTCACAATGCCTGGTGGTAGTGTTACATGAATGCCAACTGCATTTATGGAGCAAATGTACAGCATCAGAGCAATTCCTCAAGATGGGGAGTCTTGCTACCTTTGTCCAGAACTGACAATTGTCCCGAGGAAAATGGTTCTTCTCTTGGTACTCATATCTCAGAAAACAAAGAACGAGAGGGAATTCTGAGAAAGCGGTATTTCTCCCCCACCCCAGGATTTTATGCCACACAAAGAAAGCAAGAGGAAGAAGAAAAGAAGAAAGATCAAGGAGGGAAAGCTGTTTGGGGCTAAGCCAAACAAACTTAAATGCTTTAAAGAATAAATTGGTGGACTAATGCGAATCATGGGCAGGTGCTAGGAATGTAATTTAGTAAAAGCTCGGGAACCTGCCAAAGAAGAGAAAAATGTGTTGCTTTTGAGATCATTTCCCAGCAGTTCCATAAAGGAAAACTGATTACAGGAATTTAATAAGTAAAACAGAGCCAGAAAGAGTGTGATCAAATGAGTTTTTAATTACATTTCAGCAGAAAAAAAAATTCCAGTTCGTGCTCCTGGGATTAAAAAAAAATAATTTCTAGAGAAATGCTTTTGTAGCAGGAAAATAACATATACACTAATTTCCTTAGGAATTACAGTAGTCAGTTTAATTAAAAGGTTTGATCAGAGTAAAGAGGAGCCTGTGCCAAGGCTAAATAAAATCATGGCAGTCACTGCCGCCTCGCCCTGTTGTCAAAAGTAAATAAATAATAAATAAACCGGGAGACAAACAAACACTGAACAGGACTTAGGCATCTGTGTTTTCTCGTGGAAATAAAGGGAATTTCTGATCGCTGGGTGAGTCTGTTGCTTTCCTTTACTCATATATGAAACAAATGGTACATCTGATTTTAAATGAGAGATGTTTCTAGCTAGTGTGACAAAGCTCTCTGGAAAGAAGACACACACACACACACACACAGGCAGGATGAGGGAGGAATGAGAATAACTATTACATGGCATTGATGTGAAGAGAGGGGTTACCTCAGCCATCAGGAGGCTCACTGCTCACACAGAGAGCTTTAGGGGGCTGTGTCTGGGTGACTGACAGATGGCTCGAGGTGTGCTTAAGGGAAGGACATCCCACTGTCTGTAGGACACACTGTTCTTCATCTGAGGACTTAGCTGCCAGCCACTCCTTAACCACAGCACACACCTAGAGAATGCTTCCTGGAAGGGGCCCAGAAACCACCGTACCTTTATTGTCTGTTCAGCTTTTGTCCCCTGTGGTGAATGTGAATGGGACCCACCTACAAGTCATTTCCATGGGACCACAGTTTTCATCCCTGGCCTCAGCGGTAGTACTCAGTTAGAAGCAATCACAAAGACAACGTAATAAGGCCGCATGTGCTATTATTTTTGTGTAGAAATAAACTCCTATGGCTAACCTTAGTTGCCAACGTGCCTGACACAACCTAGCAAGAGGAAACCTCAACTGAACTGCCTCCATCAGATTTGCCTGTAGGTGTGTCTGTAGACGGTGCCATCCCCTGGGAGGTGGGCTTGGGTTCTATAAGAAAAACAGCCGAGCAAGCCACAGGGAACAAGCCAGTAAGCAGCTTCCCCTGTGGTCTCTAGTTCAGTTCCTGCCTGCAGGTTCCTGCCTTGGCTTCCCTTGGTGATGAACTGTAGCCTGTAAAATATCTCTGAGTTTGAGGCCAGCCCAGTCAGTCTACATGGTGCATTCTAGGCTGGCCAAGGCATGATAAGACCCTGTCTTTAAAAAAAAAAAAAAAAAAGCAACAATAAAAAGATGGAATGTCACCCGAAGTCTTTTTTTTTTTTTTTTTTTTTCCTGCTGCTAATGCACAGAATTTTCCACAGGCTAGACAAGAATCCACCACTGGAGGACACCCTTAACCCCGTGTTTCCTTTTCTCAAAAACTGGATTGTCCAGAATATAAAATGACTTCTAGGCGCTTTGCTGTGTATGTTCTCTATGAATAGCTTTACTGATATTTATTATTTATATTTTTGCATATAGAATTTTAGCAGATGTTTTGCCAATCATATTTTACTGGTTGACTATGTTGAAGTCTTTCATAATAAACAGTCCAATGTAAAATTCATGAGAAGGTGAGACAGAATATTAGGCTAGTGTTACAGATCAAAGGCAGCCTACTTGTCTAGAGTGCACAGCCTTGAGTTTGGACCCTAACACCAGAGGTAAGTAAATACACTAAAAGCATTTAAAAGAAAGAAGATTAATTCCATAAATTTAATATTACTTGTTTCAGTGGAGCCAGGAATAACGAGGTGTTCCCGCTTGGGCAGAGTGTTCTCTGAGGCCCTTTGGCCGGTTGGACATTCATCCGCTGGTGCTTGGTCCGAGCATTCTGAGTCCATGCTAACCCTAGCTCACAGGCGCTGTCCACACCCACTCCACAGTGCCCCTTCTCTGGGGAGACTGGTTCAAAGGCTGCAGAAGGCTCATGAGCATCAAATTCAAACGAGAGCGCTTACTGTCAAGATCTTATTGCCAGGGGTCATCCAGGGCTTCTGAGCTCAGAAGCTGCTCAAACCACTTGGAAGTAGGGACCTCTTCTCTTAAAAAGGAAAAAAAAAAATGTAAAAGGGAGCATTTAGGAGGACCTATGGATCTTGTGTAGTTAAATACCCTAAAGCTTCAGTTTCATGGACTTGGTGACCCATCTGCCCTGTGTGACCATTCCTGACATTTTCTCTCTCCTCATCTCCCCCACACCCTTCCATCCCTCTCTTGCACACCCTTAATATCTTACACCTTTCCCTTTATATCATACCTATTTCCATACATGTTACTCTTAGAGTGGAAACACACGTTTGAGTCAAAAGGAATATAAGGTTTTTAAAATGTGAAGTTAAGAAGACTGAGAGAGACAAAGACGAGGGCTTGCAACCTCTTTCATTCTTTCCAGGGGCGCTATGAATACACCATAACAGCGTTGGATGCATGCCTACTTCTCAGGAGTAGTTCCTATTTAGCAGAGTGGTCATTTCCTTTCCTTTAGCTGGTTTCCACTCCCTTTATAAACAGAAGGGGGAACCTATGCATTCCCATAACCCACATCTCTTTCTCTCCATCCCTTCCTTGTTTGTTTTAGGCCTTGGTGAAGGTCAACGCGAAACTGAAGCCGATGCTGGATTCCGTGGCTGCCAACCGAAGGAAGTGGGAAGAGCTGCACCAAAAAAGACTACAGCTCTCTGCTGCCTCCCCAGCCCCTGCCGTTCTCGCAGTGGCCTCCGGGGAGGACAGAGTGTAAGCCAGCTATAGCTGCTGCGCAACCCTGCGGCCTGGGGGGTCCCAGCCTGGAGGGATCTGCCTCAGCTCAGCTCCATCACCCTCTTCACTCAGACAGTCCTAGAGCTTTGACTACACCGGGAAGCGCACCGGAAACTGGGCGTGGCAGCACAGGAACAGAAGGATGGAGGGAGGCAGAGAGCCTGACCCTCGGCTTCTGGTAGTGGAGCCGCACTGCTGGATGAGGGCATCAGCCCCACTGGTTCTGAGCTGAGGGGACACCATGGTAAAAGTGTCACTATGGCTGCTTCCTACGGCGCTTTTCTGTCATGAGCACTTTCTTTCTTGGCAGGCTCTCCCTGAGAAGGCTTTTGTGCGAGGGTCCAGATTTGCATCCTAGGTGTTTTATTTCTAGTCCCACTGCTTCTTAGTGATGCGCCAGACCCTTGGTCTCCTGGCCTGAGGGTAACCTGCTCCCCTGAATAGAGCCAGCTAACCCCAATCTTCCCATTGGGTCCACAGTAGGAACATAGTAAGTGTGTTTGTCTAGCTGGTGTTTCAAAGGGTCTGTGACCCTGCAGTGATCGTGGTTCGCCTTTTCAGTCTTTGGATTCAGCCTTCATTGTAAACAAAGTCTTTTTTATGGGACTGCCCACGAACCCGCTTGAGGTGAAAAACTGGGGGGAGAAAATTTAAGGTACCTCAATTTTACATTTTTCCTTACATGTAATAAAGATTGTTCTAGAAAGGTCTAGAAATAACATCTGCACAATCTGTATCATCTAGGCGGTCAGGTCGCTAGCAGGTGAAAGCCAACGTGTAGGCAAATGTGACAAGAAAGCTACTCTGATGCCCATGTCACCGGAGACGCTAAGGACAGGATCCGCCTTACCCAAAGAACGCTGGACTTGCTGCCCCTCACTATGTGTCGTTAGCTGAGAGATTCTGGACAGGTCATGACAGATTCATGTTTCCCAAACTGTCAAGTGAGGTTACACCAGGAACTTATTTGCAGAAACCTTAGCATTAAAATCCTTTGTCCAAACAGACTTTCAAGGACTCCCCAGGGCACACGAATAGCTAAAAGCTGAAATCCTATGTCTGAAGCAGGCCTTAGGTATCCAGAAGCCACACAAATCATCCTCTCTTCGTACACACACACAAATGCACACACCCACACACGGTGCTCCACAGAGTCAGAGCACTCTGGAAATCCCTGGGTGACATGAGGGTCAGCCCAGCTCCGAACAATAGAAAACTTACAAAACTTTTTTTTTCCTTAACCCTTAACTTACAAAATATTTTTTATCTTGCTTCTTCTGAGCAGTATCAGTTCTAAACTTTACTCAAATCCGAAAGACAAAGAGGTCAGACTTCACAGGGGACTTGCTTTCTGGGTGTTTAGGAGATGTCTGACGATGGGGGAGTAGAACGAAGGTGGAGTGGGCTGGCGCTCATCAGCAGGAAGGCAGTCTTCTTATAGCAAGAAACAAGAGGATTGTAGACCAGGCACAGGGTGGGGCTAGAGGAAGAATACAGGACCACGGCAGATGGTTAAGACAAACCGGCTACGGAGAGGTGAAAGTCAGTCCAAAGAAAAACAGCACCTCCAGACCAAAATAAAAAGAGGGTGCCGAATCCTGTCATCAATTGAGCAGGAAAGAGAAACAATTACACAGGCAGAGGCTTGACAAAGGAGAGAAGAGAGGAGTGGGAGCACTGAGAAATAATGTTACTGGCTGCCCTTTACAGCTGTGTCTGTGGGGAAGGTGCGAGACTGCAGGGGGAAATGAGCGCAGGGAAAAAAAAAAAACCAACCTCTGCAGAGCAGGTAAGAGAGGCTGTTCAGATTTATGGATTTTATTAAGCCAGTTTTCTGAATCACTCTGCTATAAAGGAAAATAGCTTCTGCTGAGCTGTCTCCTCCTCCTTCAGGTGAAGGACAAAGGGTGGGTGGAGCTAGGAACAGACCCGAGGTCTGCAGAAACACAGCAGGTGTCTCTGGGTACTGCAGCCTGGGAATCAGGAATCTGGGACTGTTCATATGAGGCTGCCGTGAGCCCATATCTGTTACCCTTCCTAACAATAAATAAAAAATAACCAGAAAATGGAGGCCAGTCCGTCTACATTAAAAGAATTCCAGTGGTGTGCTTTATGATAAAACCGGACCCAGGGTCTTCCGGAGACTGCAGGCAGTGAGACAGCAGCTCCCCTCCCCGCCCTGAATGTTGATGCTACATATTGCTGAGGGGGACATAATTTATAGCACAAACCCTACGGCTTCCACTAAGGTTGAGTTTTCCTCTCATCTCCTTGCCTTTTTATTGGCTTCGCTGCACGGTTGCCAGTAGCAACATCCACTGGTAGCAAAGGGAGTTCAACACCATTGCAGTCTGCCAGACAACGGAGCCCTGACAATGTCAACCATCAATCAAATAGCTGTTTGTAATTGCCTCCATCTATTTCTCCTGTCGCAAGGTATCTTTCCTATTGTGGGTCAAGATTCAGAAACTGCTGACTAATGCCCAGGGTCTGTTTCTCCGTGACTATGGAGAAATGGGAGAGAGGGTGGTAGCCTTCTTGGTGCCAAGCCCTAGAGGTTAGAGCTTGGAATTCCTGGCCTTGAAGGTATTTTTTTTTATCCCTTGTAAAACAATTTATTTCCCATGAACATGAATTATGTGTCATCCCTGTAGTCTGCTTCTCCAAAGCACAGAAAAGGAAACTTCCCAATCCTTATTTATTGCTGCTGGTTCTTGCTGAAGGAAGGTATTTGAAATGTGAGCCTTCTGCAAAATAAAATTCAAGCAGACAAGATTTTCTTCTTCCTCGGGTCTCTGGGCATCAACGGCTGAGATGACTCCGTCCTACTTTTGTATGAGGTGTATTTTTTCAGAAATTCTATTTCTTCATACTAGTGAGCATATAGCTAGTATGTGCACAGTCTACAGCCCAGCTGGAGATCCTGGTGGGTGAGGGCAGCTTGGCAACCCGCCAAAGGCACCAGCACGCGGCAGAGCAGGACCCCATCTTAGCTGGCTGCCAATGGGCCTACCGTCTTGGGGCTCTGCAGCTCTGCAGGGTTCTGTCTGTTAAATAAAAGCACCGACCTTTATTCCGTTTCTGCTTCAAAAGACCAAGCTATGCTTTGCTTTGGAAAATTCATCCAGGTAACTTTCTTTCTACTTCTTAAATGAAATAGAAGAAAACCTGAGAGTCACCTTCTCGCTGAAGAGTGTAAAAATGTATATATAGGGGAGCAGACACAAAACAACCTTCAGACCCACCATGTGAGGCTGCTCCTAATAAAGGTGAGAGCGAGCGTCATCAACGCCTGTTTGTGTGCATTCTCTTACGTCATAATGAACAGCTTTAGATAATTCCATAACATGGCATCCCATATGGGAATCACTAGCTTAGAAATCAATTTATAAGGAGAGTAAAAAAAAAAAAAAAAAAAAAACGCACACGAGTTTCCCATTTCTGAAATCTGAAGACCTGCATGCTTCCAAGTACTTTGGGATTGCAAATACCTTGGATTTAAAATGATCTCGGCCTGTTTTTAGCAGCACCGTAGCTGTAGTGTGTCACTGGGATTCAGCTGCCTTTTCTGTGTATCAAAACTCAGCGCACACTAGTGACTTAAGTCTGATGACTGACTCTACGCCATTTACTTTGCAAAGTAAAAAAAAGACCAAAAAAAACAACAAAAAAAAAAACATCACCACCTCCAGTAATAGAAACAATTTCTGTCAAGTGCAGCAGAAATCTAAACATGTCTGAGAAGAAATTCAAACATAAAGAAAAATGTGTTGGCACGGGGGTAGGGAGTGACAGATTCATTAAGGCAACGGGATGTTTCCTCACTTGGCACCCTGCGAGCTCTGACAAACGTTAGTGAATTCCCTCTCTGTTTCATGGTAACAGTCTGGAGTTGTTATTCTGCTGTGTGCTGTCCAGAGCTCCCAAACCCCAAAGGAATTTAGAGGTTCAGTCTGGCTACTGGAAGTCCAAAGCGTCACATGCTTCCTACGTCAGCAACTCTCAAACTGTGGGTCGTGACCCTTTTGGGAGTCACACCTCAGACATCCTGCATATCAGATACTTACAGTTCATAACAGGAGCAAAGTTACAGTTACGAAGTAGCGGCAAAAATGATTTTATGGTTGAGGGTCCCCACCCCATGAAGAACCACATTAAAGGGTCACGGCGTTAGGAAGGTTTACACTGTCCTATGAGAGCAATAGCGGAACGTGGAAGACAGAACTAAAACAAGATGTCCCTGGAGAACTCCATGAAGGGCTTTAGATTTGTTCCCAGTGTTGTGCTCAGGCTGTCTGTGTCACACACACACACACACACACACACACACCCAGCTGGTGATTTTAGGTTGCACATACTTTGATTTTGAATGTCCTTGCGTGTTTGTACGCCTCTCAGCAGCACTAAAGAAACTGTTCATCTGTGTATTCAGCTGTACCAACCAATGTTTCCTAATGTACACACTGGTGCAAAAATGCCTGTTTTGTTAAATAAATAATTACTTGCTATGAGGGGGGAAGAAGTGTGTTCTTTGAGGCCATCATTTGTCTGCATTCATCTCTGTGTCTTTGTGTGTTTTGGACTGCTCGTTTTTCTTTTGCTCTAGTGTAGATTTTGAGTAAGTCATATTTAGAGCAATTTTCAAGCATAACACACTGTGGAGATAGAAGTCTAGTTTATTGAGCCTCATTCCCTTGGAGGGCTGTTGCTTTTGCCATTTTATTTTGATTTACAATAATTTAAAAAGGGTCCCCTACTGACTTGTTTCCTAATTATCGCTGTTTTACACAAAAGAAGGGAAGTATGTTGTCGTTTGGGTTGTGTGAAGCCCTTCTCTTTGTGTTGTTTCCAGGCTCCTACTGTTTTGTAAGAACACTTGGTTTAATGCTGCTTGGCCATTTCAGAAGCAACTGCACATGGCTTTGAAACAGGCTGCTGTAAGAAAACAAAGACTTCTTGTTTTTAATAAAATGCTTAATGTTTAACTAACACTCTACAATGGTCTTTGTTTGGAGGGCTGGAAGAAAGATGCATGCTTTGTAATACCTACAATTTAAATTGTGACAATTTAGCTCATTAACCTTAGTCAGTGTTGTCTGCTTGTGTGAGAGGAATACTGGGACCTCATTTTTCAAATGACAAAAGATTTCCTTGGATTACTCAAGGTTGTCTGGAGGCAGGAGAACTCTGCAGCTGAGAATGGGGTTCCTGCTTGCACTATGCATTGCTTACATCTTACACAGGTGGGGTCACACCTACAGGGGGCTGTCAGCCACGGTGACGTGATACAAGTATGCAATGGCTTCGGTGTTTAAACTTTAAAATTCTTACACCATTGTGCGTGTTCTATCAGAATGAACTGCAACAAATAATCCAGAGCCGATTCAAAAGGCTGGGGAGGAGGCACCCGGGGAGAGAGGGAAGAGGTGCAGGTGGCCCTCTAGTGGGCAGTGTTAGCAAACGGCATCACTGCCCGCTGCAGCCCCGGGCTTTGCGTATTGCAGCCTGCAGTTCTGCCCCCGCGGTGGAAACAAGCATCTCTAACTCACAAAAGGTCTGTGGGGACTGTTAGGAAAGTTAGGCGAAGTAGGCCCGGTGATGAAAGTCCCGCATAAGCACTGGGGGCTTGGAGTAGCTCTTTGTTTGAAAGGCTGCTCAGTTGTTTTACAATTTAGTATCCATGGTTTTGGCTTCTCGGCTAATCCCCTTTGTAAACCATAACGCTACTGCACAGTCAGAGAGGTTAATTTAGTAACGCAGTAAACCTTAGCATACAAGCTACTTGATCAAAGTCAAAGCACATTCAGGAAAGAGATCTTGTTTAGATATTGAGGATGATTTCTCTGAGATGTGAGCCCCTAATGAGATGAAACAGCTCCCCAATGTAAGCATACGTGATCGTGTTGATTTAGCAAACAGAGGGCCCCAAAGATTCAAAAGACTAAATGCAGACTACTAAAAGTCAGTCAATGGCATTACAGATTTGGCCTTAGTTTATTTGCTGTTTCCCTGTTCATAGTGGAGATGGGTTTTCAAACACCAAAATTCAATGGGACCGAGCTCTGAAACTGACCATCCTGGAGAAAATGGTCAGGAACATCACATGGGAAGAACATAGTAACTTTGCAAAGGACTTCCTTATCAAGGAAGGTGTGGCTGTGCATGAAATGCTCAGGACTTAGCCATGTACCAGCCACAAATGTCACATGCAGACAGTAAGAAAATGTACTTCCCAGCTGACAGCAAAGGAGAATGCTCAGTACAGTATACATTTGATGGCTTTATATTCTGGCAGGAAGAACGAAGGATGCTAGGAGCCAAACATGCCTTTACCCTGCTTTACTTTGCCTAAACTGAACTCTTCACAGTCATCAGGCCTCCCTTAGCTCACTGAAACTGGCCCAAGTGCCATGCTGCTTTTCTCAATCATTAACTCCTTCTACATGTCTCTAATGCCTTTATAAGAATCACTACAAGTTGTCCAATCTCCGAGAATAGTAGTGCAGATTTGCTTTTGATATAGACTCCAGCGTTTCAAGACCCTATTGTAAACAAAAATGATCTTTTATACTTCATAATATTCTACTCAGTTTGCTTTCCAGGCTTTCCATCATTAATTAAAGGGCCTCATTTCATCTCCCCCATCCAAGAAACAATGAAACTATTCCCCAACTGCCTGTCAGAGACCAAATGAAGTCAGCCTACCACAGTGGTGGCCGTGGTCATGCCAAGTTCACAGTGGGGTTGGTGCGCTCACTGAGTTTTGAAAATGACCCTGCCCTCCATCTGTCTAAGCAAATGCCCTGCTCTTTTCCATCCAGGATGCTGGGGCAGCTTCCCATGAAATAAGAAGGAGGACACAAAACGGCCACCCTCCTGCATACTTCAGCTGACATGGTACCTCATAGACAGGTACCAATACAGAGAGAAGAAACCCAAATGATCCCTGTAGGTGGCCAATAAATGTGGGGGAAAGCCAACAACAGTCCTTTCGTGTGTGTGTGTGTGTGTGTGTGTGTGTGTGTGTGTGTGTGTGTTTTAAAAAGTCATTTGAAGGTGGGTGTTTTCAGAATGTAAGTACAGCTCTGCAAACAGAGAGAAACTGAAGAGATAAAAGGCCATTTCTCATTTCCATGTTTACTCATCTCAATTTAATGCCAGCTTTTTCAAGATAACAGTCTATGCTTAAAGACTTTAAAATACTGAGTGTGAGTTTCCAAGGGACAAATGTCAGGCAGGCTACCAGCTGTAAGGTGACACGGTGTAGCCTTTTAATATCTATGCGTCAGAGGTCACATCCCCCCCCATCACAGACTTCACCTAAAAGGGTACGCCAAAAATGAGAGTAAAAGTATGCTCAGGGTGTGGATATAGAAGCTGTCCTTATCTGCTTTCTGTGGAGATCTTCCGTGGGTCAGATATGCACCTATTCCACACACATGAAATGGGTGCAATCCGCTGCTTCCTTCTTATCAGCTGTGCTGGCTGTTCCTCATCTGATGGCATCCAAGAAGTCACATGGCTGATAGTCCTCAGCAAATGTGAAGACTGGGAAAAAAAAAAAAAGTACATGAAGTCAGTCGTTCCATGGTATGAGCCGTTAACGACACACCTCCTCTCAAGCCTTTTCTTGTGGTACTGAGTGCTGAAGAGACGCATAAACCCACTGGTCACTGTGTACGTCTGAAGCTGCAGCTGAGGCATGGAATTCCAAAGTCCACTGCCCACACCCATTTAGATAGTAGTTTCTCTAGGAAAAGAAAAAACATACTCTTTCTTCATCACACTCAGTGCCTGCACCTGTCAGGCATTTACAGATTGTGGAAACGTGTGGTTTGAAGTGTTTATCACTCACTATTTCCCATGGAACCTCGATCTCGGTTTTCATGGTTCAACCTGAATGGTGGTTTGAATAAGGATATCCCTCATAGGCTCATTTGTTTGAATACTTAGTCCCCAGTTTGTGGAAGCTTTGGGGGAGGTGTGGCATTCCTGGAATAGCTGTGTCACTGGAGATGGGGATTGAGATTTCAAAAGACCCCCACTATGACAGTGTCACAGCCTCTGCCTCTACCTTGGAGACCAAAATCTAACCTCAATGGCAGTGAGTTCTTCTGCCCAGAACTCTGGGTCAGGAACTCAGATATAACTCTTTCAAAAGGTCTGCCGAAGTCATTTTTGGGAAATACTTGGAAAGGCCAGATTTGATGCTCTTATCTACCTGATCCTCGTCATGTGTTATTTTATGTAGAACCCAATGAGACACTATTCTCTGCCTGGATCTCTCTTTGGGAACTCCAGCTAATTCCTCAATGGCTTTCTCAGTTGATTTCAACTAAATATTTCTGAGCCCCAAATTTGATTATATTGAATTATCTATATGATGTTTCTGTCTGCTATTTCCTATTTATTATTTTACTTTTGCTTGCTATGTTCTTAATAAACTGATATTCAAACCAAAACTACCATTTTTAGATCATGTTCTACTTGGTACAGAATTGGTCAATGTAATGTTCTATCAAGAAGTACACACTTATACTCCAACCAAGGACTATTCATGGAGATATCCTAGAACCCCTGCACAGAAGTAGCCCATGGCAGGTCAGTGTCCAAGTGGGTTCCATGTAATGGGAAGAGGGACTGCCTCTGACATAATCTGATTGGCCTGCTCTTTGATCACCTCCCCCTGAGGGGGGAGCAGCCTTACCAGACCACAGAAGATGACAATGCAGCCACTTCTGAGGTGATCTGATAGACTAAGATCAAAAGGAAGGAGAAGAGGACCTCCCCTATCAGTGGACTTGGGGAGGGGCATGCATGAGGAAGGGGGAGGAAGAGTGGGATTGGGAGGGGAGGAGGGAGGGGCTTATGGGGGAATACAAAATTAATAAAGGTAATTAATAGTAAAAATTTTTTTTAAAAAGTAATAAAAAATAAATAAAAGAAGTACACACCTAGGTCACCACAAAAAAAGATAATTCTAGGAGATCTCAAAGTATAAAAGGAAAAAAAAAATTTTACAAGCCTTAAAAAAGCCTCCAGGGACACCAAGCCCTAAGCCGGCCACTGTCATTCCACACAGAGCTGATTATATGTAGCCAGCATGCAACACTCACTCATTTTAACGAGTAAATGGAGTCTAAGCATCCCAACACAAGCCTAAATGACTTTTTGTATGACTTTTTTTTTTTTTTTCTGTTTGAATACACAAACAAAAATACACCAAATTACCCAGGGTTAAGTCGTCTGGAAATGAGACTACAATTCCCAGAATGCAAAGCGGCTGCGCCCCATGGAGATGTGACAATGGTGCATTCCGGGATAAACCAGACGTTTACATATCCGGACTGCTTGAAGCAATTTTCTATCCCCTTTCCGACTTCTGTCTCTACCCAGTTTGTACTCTTATAACACATAACAAAAAAATTCAGTGATTATGTCAATATTTCCTCTTCAGGCCTAACGGATTCTCTACCTCACGACCCCAAGATGACATTCCGTTTCCGGTTATCTAGTTGCCTTGGAAACTAGCACGCGCTACAATTTGTCCGCTATGGCGTGGCAAAGCAGCTCTAAAATCCCCGACGGTGAGTTCACGGCGGTGGTGTACAGGCTCATCCGCGACTCCCGCTACTCCGAGGCGGCCCAGCTGCTGGGCGCAGAGCTGCAGAGGAGCCCCCGGAGCCGCGCCGGGCTGTCGCTGCTGGCCTACTGCTACTACCGCCTGCAGGAGTTCGAGCTCGCTGCAGAGTGCTATGAGCAGCTGAGCCAGATGCACCCCGAGCTCGAGCAGTACCGCCTGTACCAGGCCCAGGCGCTCTACAAGGCCTGTCTGTATCCGGAGGCCACCCGGGTCGCCTTCCTCCTGGACAACCCGACCTATCAGACTCACGTCCTTCGCCTACAGGCAGCTATCAAGTACAGCGAGGGGGACCTGCCAGGAGCCAGGAGCCTGGTGGAGCAGCTGCTGAGTGGGGAAGGTGTGGAAGACAGTGGAGGGGAGAATGATTATGATGGTCAGATCAACCTGGGTTGTCTGCTCTACAAGGAGGGACACTATGAAGCTGCCTGTGCCAAGTTCTTAGCGGCCCTACAGGCTTCTGGCTACCAGCCTGACCTTTCCTACAACTTGGCTTTGGCCTATTACAGCAGTCGGCAGTATGCCCCTGCTCTGAAATATATCGCTGACATCATTGAGCGAGGCATCCGTCAACACCCAGAACTAGGTGTGGGCATGACCACCGAAGGCATTGATGTTCGCAGTGTTGGCAACACTGTGGTCCTCCACCAGACTGCTCTGGTCGAAGCCTTCAACCTCAAGGCAGCCATAGAGTACCAGCTCAGAAACTTCGAGGTAGCCCAAGAAACCCTTACTGACATGCCACCCAGGGCAGAGGAAGAGTTGGACCCCGTGACCCTGCACAACCAGGCCCTGATGAACATGGATGCCAGGCCTACAGAGGGGTTTGAAAAGCTCCAGTTTCTGCTCCAGCAGAACCCCTTCCCCCCAGAGACCTTTGGCAACCTGCTGCTGCTGTACTGCAAATATGAGTATTTTGACCTGGCTGCTGATGTCCTAGCAGAAAATGCCCACTTGACCTACAAGTTCCTCACACCCTACCTCTATGACTTCTTGGATGCCATGATCACTTGCCAGACAGCTCCCGAAGAGGCTTTTGTTAAACTTGATGGGCTAGCTGGCATGCTGACTGAGCAGCTCCGGAGACTCACTAAACAAGTTCAAGAAGCAAGGCATAACAGAGATGATGACACTATTAAAAAGGCTGTGAATGAATATGATGAAATTCTTGATAGGTATATTCCTGTCCTGATGGCCCAGGCGAAAATCTACTGGAATCTTGAAAATTA